AGAAAATAAAGATTTGTTATAACCTTTATCTTGGTAGATAATAAATAATAGTTATAATATATATGTATAGGTAGATAATAAAGAATATTTATAATATATACCTAGGTAGATAAATAAAATATTAACATAAAATTACTTTAATATTTATAACAATTTATAACTTAACTTATTTAAAAAATATCTTTTGTTTTTATAATTGGTAAAATTTACAGCTGTGTTATAATTAAATTTACAGCTGTGTGATTTTTTTTCTTTCTAATAACTATTTGACTATTTGATAAAAAAAAAGTCAACAAAAAATAAAAAGCCATAATATAAAATAAATTTAGGTAGCTTCTGCCATTTTTCATATTCATTCACAAAATATTGCTCATAGAGACTTGAAGCCTGAGAATTTGCTTATTAAGGATAATAGTGATGTAAGTATGTTTTCTTTTTTTCATGTAAACACCTAGGTTTTATAATTGTGTGGTTTGGACACATGATGAAGATAATGATGAAGTTTTTTAATAAATTTAGAATATTGTAGTGAAGCTTACAGACTTTGGATTTGCAAAAATTGATAAAGGAAATCTTGTTACTCCCCAGTTTACTCCGTATTATGTGTCTCCTCAAGTCAGAATTTAAATTTCTTATTAAGTTTTTTATTTATTTCAATATATAAAGTCATATGTAAAGTGTTTATGTATTAACTTATTTTTGTTATATGCATACTTTAATATTGTTATTAAAACATTTTTTAAAGTAAAGTATTTAATAGGTTCTTGAAGCTCAAAGATTTCATCGAGCTCAAAAAATGGGAAATATACCTATTGAAAGTGAGCCCTACACATATGATAAGGTGGGCATTAGCTTATATTTTTTGCTTGATATGAAATATAGAGTATTGTTGCATAAGCAAGTTGTATTATGTTGTTAAAAAATTAAACTCCACATGAAGGAAATGCCTTTAAATGGTTTGGTATTTTAGCCTCAAGAGCTGAGGCCAAGATATGTAATGCAGTTGTCTTAACTTTATCACATTGTTATTCATGTGAGAGAGCATTTTCATGATTGTTTACAAGTGTTAGCTATGTGATTGTTTCTTATTAGAGTTGTGATATTTGGAGTCTTGGAGTGATCATATACATAATGTTGTGTGGGTATCCTCCATTTTATTCTGAAAATCCACGCAAGCAGTTATCACAAGGTATGAAACGAAGAATAATGGAAGGAGAATATGACTTTCCTGCACCAGAATGGTCGAAAATATCTGACTTAGCCAAAGATGTTATCAAAAGGTTTTGAAATTATTTCAAAAAAAAAAAAAAGTTTTTTTCATTTTATTTAAATGTTTGACCTTTTTTTTTCCGTTAGAATGTTAGTGATAGACTCAAAAAATAGAATGACTATTCATGAATTAATCAAACATCCATGGCTAAATGCAGGAATAACTCTTGCAACTGTTTTGAAATCTCCACAAAAACTTATGTTAGAAGTAAGACTACTTTTTAAATAGATTTAAATAGATTATTACTTATATATTATTCTTATTTATAATTATTCTTTATTATTATTTTTCATTTTTATTTAATATTATTATTTATCATTGTTATTTATTCTTATTTATTCTTATTACTTGTTTTACACATCAAGGCTGAGTATTTTTATTGGAGGGTTTCCTTCCAAGGATAGTTACTAGGAGGTTTACCTTTCAGGATAACACTAGAAGGGTTACAATCCAGGGTACCACTAGGAGGTTTACCATCCATTAATTAGCCATTATTAAAGAATTTAATACTTAGAATGTATGGTTCAAGCTAAAAAACATAACAATCAAATCAGCAAATAAAATCATTGGTTATAACAATTCTAGGAATCAGAACGATGTTGAAGATAAATATTTATAGAAAGCAAATATCAGTGGCAAAAGTTTAAAAACAAAATCAGTTTTATTAATAGAAAATCTTGTGTAAAAGTGGATTTTAAGCATCTTCTTATGTAAGAATTTTAGGAGAACTGAATTCCTTTAGCTTTGTTGAGGTGAAAATAGTTATATCATATGATTTTTTTTTTGTTGAGGTGGTGATGGTTATACTATATGATTTTGTTTTATCGTTTTAAGATTATCTCAACTTTTTTTATTGTTTTATTGTTTTAAGATTATCACAACAACGGTTTTTTAACATTTTTTGCAGGTTTTTTCTTTTTGTAAATTTACTTTATATATTTTTTTTATTTCTTTTTTATTTATTTTTTTTAATTTATTTTTTATTTACTTTATTTTACTATATATATAATAAATAAATAAAATGTAGTATATTTCTTTTTATTTATTTATTATTATATATATTTTTCTAGAGTTAGTTGTAAAAGTTTTTCAGTTATTTATTTCATAAAAATTAATGACGCATTTAGTTAAAAGAACAAAATTTAAAAAAAGACTAATCATAATATTTATAGTCAAGCTAATGAAGTATTCAAATATGAAATAAAAATTAAATAAATATTTTTCAAGTTTTAGTAATAACCTTCTGATTGAAACTTTAATTCTTAAGTGATAACCATTTTTTATTTACAAATTTGTTAAATTTTTCAGGACAGTTTTGAAAAGGTTGTGATTGCACATTCAGCTATGCTTGCTGATTTAAGAGTTCCTGATGATGACTTGATACTGAATCCAAATGCTATTGAAAAGAATCCAATTATCCTTAAACGAAGAAAGGCTCAAGAGCTGTAGGTTTTTTACATTATTTTCATTGAAGTTGTTTTGTCCAATCAAAGTTGAATGTCTATGGTCTAACATGATTTTTTGTAACAAAGTTATAGATTTAATATTATTTTTATAATGAAGTTTTATGAGCAAAGATATTTTTATTTTTTAAAATTTTTTAAAGAATGGATGTCGCAAAATAAATAGTGAATTTTTAAAAATGTTTTAGGAGATTTGTATTTTAATTTAAAAGATTTTTTTTTTTTTTTATAAGTTTTTTTTCAGAGTATATTTTTTAGCCTCTTTTTTATAAAATCCAGGTTTTTAAAAAAATCATTGTTTTTTTATAAAATTCTAAAAAAATAAACTTTATTATCTAATAGAGTGAACAAAAATGTTTTGCTTCAATTAGCAACCTTATTACATTACCATACAGTTATATCTATAGGGATGGGATTTAAGGTTAGTTTTAATTCAACTAAAATTAAGGGTTAATATCTTTATTCATGTGATGTTAAAAAAAATGACTTGTTAGAGGCTTGTCAATGTTTATTCATGTGATGTGAAAAATGACTTGTTAGAGGCTTGTTAATGTTTATTAATGTTAGAGGCAATGTTTATCCGCAAAACTATATTACTTTAAACAAGTTGTTCTTTTCGCATTAAACAAGTTTTTACTATAAATTTTTTATATAAATTTTTTACTATATTAAAGGCACTATTTTTTATACTATATTTAACCAGTAGCTTTATAACTAAATCAGTAACTTGTTCACTGTATTAAACCAGTAATTGTTGTAATCATTAGTTACAATATGCTTTCATACATTAAAACAGTAATTGCAATAATTTTTTTGATATATTAATCCAGTAATTATTGTTACCAGTAGTTACAATACATTTTTACTACTAGTGTTTATTGTAACCAGTTATTGTTAATTTGTATCATAGTATGATAATTTTTCTTCTTTTTTTAAAGTTGTTTGATTTCATCTGATGACCAGAAAAGTCTTGTACCTATTGAAACTTCTGGAATAAAAGCATTGAGAGATATGGTGGCTTTTTTGTACATGCCACCATTGGATAAGATAGGTCAGACATTTTTTTTTTAATCAATTATATGTATTCTTAATTATTAGTTCTGAATTAGTTTTATTCAAAACAAAGGATTTTTTTATAAGAATAATAAAATCTTATGGCATTTAAATGTTTATAATGAATCAATAAGGAAATACCAAGTAGCTGCGTTTCCAATAAATAAAAACCTTAAACCTTTATCATGTAACTTCAAGTTTTTAAAGGAGAGAAATTTTTATTTTAAGTGATGCCAGTTACAGTCTCTTGCAAAAGTTTAGAATCAGTTAAGTATTTTTTAGGTCCATTATCAGTTAAGTATTTTTTAGGTCCATAATTTATTTAATGATGTTTTTTATTACTATTTTTAGTCTCTTGCTAAAGTTTAGAATCAGTAAAAAGTATTTTTTAGGTAAATCCATAATTTATTGAAAATGACATACACAAATGCCATACACAAAGCTAAGATTTAATTTATGTTATACGCATACAAGTGTATGTATGTAACATAACAATACAACTAAGTAAATAACAAAGCTAAGATTAGTTTATTTTATATACATACACATGTATGTGATAACATAAATTAAATCTTAGCTTTGTGTATGGCATTTGTGTATGTCATTTTCAATAAATTACAGATTTACCTAAATCTTAACTTTGGATAGTCAGTTTCAAAAACATTCTCACAACAAAATGAATTAATTGAAAAATTGTAAAGGATGATTCTTAACATGATTCTATGAAAATTGTTCAAATCTGAGGCATGACATGACAAAAATGACTTTTTTGTCATTTTTAAATACTATTAAATTTCTTCAATAATACTCCTATAATAAGTAAAACAATTATTACTGTTAGCAAATATAATTGTTTAAATGTGTTGCGTTATTAGTAAATTTGTTGTTTAGTTATATCAAGTCTTATCTTAATTTTATCTTTCTATAGAAATGGAAATGATTTAATTTTTTTTTTATGTTACTACGAGAAGTTTTTAAGAATCCCTTTTGTTTACATTGTTTATCTAACTAAGGACTTTAAAAATATAGTTATTATTTAGTTATTATATATTACTTTCTACTAAAGTAATTTTTATATTTATATAGTTTTATGATCAGTGACAAATTTATTTAGAGTTTAATTTAATAAATTTAGAGTTTACTTGGAAATTTTTTTTTGCAGCAACAAGGGGGAGGAGGGGAGGGGCTATCTCCTTAAGATAGCCCCTCTCCCT